GCAGTGAGTTAGCAATGCAATAAATGGGAAGAGATGCATTAAAGTTGTATACAATTCTTAGGTCAAAGGTCATTTGGGGTCAGGAGGGGCAAAAGCTATAAATATTATAAAGCACTTGTTCTCTTTATGTGTAAGTCTGATCTTTATCAAAGTTGGATAAATTAGTAATTTGATAGAGATGCCTGAAATTTATTCATGATTTCTAAAATCACCAGAGATCAAATCCTGGAAACCTTTAAAATGCTCCTCCTCCAAGGGATTTTGTTTGATCCTTCTCAAAGTTATACAAATTAATATGTGGAGAGAGGTGCCTAAAAGCTGTATACGATTTTCAGGTCAAACGTCATTTGGGGTAAGGAGGGGGCAAAAACTAGTAATCTTATTAAGGTCACGTACCATTTCAAATCAGCATGAGACCTCTTTCTTTAATCTTAAAGCTGATGTACTGTTACTTCATAAGTCTAATTGGTAAGTTAATAGTTCCCTACCTGATAAACATAATCTGGAAAGATAGGCCAGCTTCCTAAGCCCCCAATGAAAAAAATTAATGATGCCATATTTATTAAACTAATTGGGAAGCTCATTTCTATTCCATTAACATTAATTTGTACTGTGGCCTTAGTGCCCTCCAGTGAATTTTTTTTGGCCTTGGTGCCCTAGCTATTAGCCTTAGTGTCCTTGAAAATGAGAGAAAATCCAAGGCCAAATGGCTTTGCTTTCCTGGCATGAAGGAGGATAGGTACAGAAAAAAAAAGGGAGACTGGTCCTGGCTGAAAGCATCAGTCAATATGGCTTGAGAATGAAGAACCAGAGACCAGAAGATGGTAAGTTTGGAGTAGTTAGTAGCAAAGGTAGAGATGAGAGTTGCACCCATTGATAGTAAACCCATCAAAACAAGAGACCACACCTCATGTGAGAAAGGCAAACTCCTAACAACTTTTAAGCCCTAGGCACATGATTGGGCTCATAAGATGAACCCAACTGGAAGAAAAAAAAATAGCAAGCCCAATCCGTGAAAGCAGAGAGCTCTGAAACAGGTCTCACTTTAACAATTGAAATAAGCAAAAATAGGGAAATAGACAGACCAACAGATTCACAAGAGGGAGGGAGGAAATGGGTAAAATGCCCTACAGATGAATATTAGGTAAAGGACATAAATGTAGAGTGAACACTTTCCCAGAGCCCCCTAATCTGGCAGAGATGTATCAGAAAAGTGATGGAGATCCAGTAAGTGGGCAGAAAGGGGATGCCCACTGTTGTGTCAGCACAGTTGAGCTACCAAAACAAAAGAGGAGAAAGGAAGAGTAAAATCAAGGATAACAAATTCCAAAAACAGTAGACTGAGAACAAGGCAAGCAAATGCCCCCACAAGTCTAGGAAAGAATGAAGGAGCAGATGCAAAGCCAAATAAAAGAGTATGGAGCTGGAAGACTCAATCCATATGGACAGGATGATCAGAAGGAGTAAAAAAGTATCCGAAACATTGACCATAATCATCTACAATCCATGTGGAACAAAACACCACAGAGAAAAGATGCTCTCCACAAGCACTGAGGGATGATAAGAAACCAGTACATAGATGACAGGTCAAAAATTGGAAACCAGAACCCAGTCGTCTTAGGAGCAAAAAGAAAAGAGTAAACCCAAGTGTAAGGGTAAGTATCCTTTCGATGGCATATCCACTCAATGGCATTCTCACCAAAGAAATCTAATACCATATCCTAGAGTCATTGAAAAAAAAAGTAAATTGAGGGAGGAGAAAAGGAAACAAAGAAAAAGGGGAAAGAAGAGGAGGAGAAATGAAGTGCAGAGAAAGGCTACAGGTGAGAACTTGAATAACTCATCTGATGGACAAAATTGGAGACCAAAGGTTGGCAAAGAAAGACAGATGAGCCCCACAGGATCATAGCTGACAAGGCAGTCACCAACAAGATAAGCCACAATCCCAACATCGATCAGTGGGAGTATGGGAAGCAGAAGGCTTGGAAGATACTAGTTGGATATATTTTTAAATGATTTTCAATCCCTACTTTGGTTGACAAATTTAGACTGATTCATTTAGCTATACGGATCATGATGCCAACCAAATTAGGGATCGAAAATCATTTTAAAACCTATCCAATTAGTATCACTTTACTTGTTTGTGTACTTTTTATTGCAGCATTTATATTGTTTTGGATATTCTTAAAGCAACTCTATGAATAACCAATGATCCCTACTTTCTATTAACATTTTATTCATTTTTTTCCTATTTTTTAACAGTAAGCTTATTACACTCCTTTATACATATTTTTCTACTACTACCAATACTAAAAGAAGTAATCCATTTGATTAAGCCCATAAACTATACGACTTCTGTGTTATTAGAGAAATAAAAGATACTATATACTGATACATCTTACACATAGATATATTTACAAGGTCAACAACATGTACTGATCTTAAGGGCAATACACAATTAACTGAACGTGTAAAATATTTAGAATTGAAGAAGACATTTCACTATTGAATTCTTTTTGTTCATAAATGTAATATTTTAACTATAAATGTTATTTATTGTAGTGTATGTACGTAATTTTACATTCAAAATATAACCTAATATTCTGACTTTACTGAGCAGTTTCTATATTCAATAGACAGTTGATAGACTTTCTGCAGAGATGAATGAGACTTTATGTGAAACTCTATATGATTAATGTGCCAAGTTATCTTCTAGCTGGTTTTTTATATATATTCTTCACCTGCTATACATGCTCTAGCATGAGTACTGTGAAATCTAACCTGTATCACAGCTGAAAACCAGCAGGTGTTCCCAACATTCTTCAGGCCTACTGGCCAGTTGCCATTTCTCTTTCTGTCATGTGGATTAGCAGGGTCTTGCCACAGTTCTCCTCGCTTTCGTTTTGTCCCTTTGTTCCACTTATTTTTTGTGGAATAAGTGAAGGTGCTGGTTTCTGACTCAGCAGTAATTCTGATGTCTTATAACATTAAAAACTGGGTTTCAATACCCATGGTGGGCACAGCACAGTCAGTTGTAGCAAGGGAGGTAATGAAATATTAGTATGTATACAAAAGTTAGAATTATAGTGTGTTCTATATAGAAAGAAGTTTCTCTGACTTAGTGGGAACACTGTTCTGTATTTTCTATAGAGTCCTTGAAGCAAGTTTGGCTGAAACTAAGGTGGCTTACATCTCAGCCATTCTTCTGCTAGCAACAGACAATAGATTAAAAGTGGCTAGCTTTATTGGGTTAAAACCCAGAACTGGCTAAAACTAGAAAGCTGAAACATTCATAATACAAAGACAAGAGAGGAAATTAACCATTTTACATCATTTAAATACCATTTTAAAATTCTTAAGTTTTGTCTTATTAAAAAATAACCAATCTTTAAAAAACAATTCCATGTATAACAAAGAAAACAAGTAATGGAAACTAATACAAGTTTATTATATTAGTTCTGTATTTGTGTGAAACTGGCTCAAAATAAATGGATGAACTAGAATAATTTAAACCCTTCTGCCATAATAACTTGTTACGTTTTGAGCTTAGTATGTACATACACATGTATAGCTCACACCACCACTATGGTTTCCATTGATCTCATTATATCAGATGGATATCATGGCCTGCATGCAATATCCCATTATTCTATTGAAGTAACTTGTATTTACAAATATCCTATAATGCATCAAAAAAACTTTTAGAAAAGAACAATTTCTATTTATTTTCTTTTTCTCTTTGGTATGCATAAGCTCACCTTACAAGTCTCTCTCACACACACACACTACACTGCTATTTATATCATTCTATGTAACTTGCTATTACTCCACAAATTCACAATCAAAACTTCTAGTTAAATAATAATTTCATAGTGTAAACCTAGTTTAGACCTTGCTCACCTGCTAATATCTTGTTCTTCCATTGATATCTGTCCTCCTAACACCCCCTTTTGATCTTGAAGGGACAGAGCAATGGCTTTTTGTAGGTCATCTTCCTTGTCACTCACCTCACTGGTCAGATCAATCACACTTGCACTATTTCCTGCCTGTTTGGGTGTTTCTTGTGGTTTCACCTGTTTGTCCTTACAATAAATTAACACAATGTCATAGCTGATCTTAATATCGTTAATATTAACTTCAATTAGAGCAAGCTTGAAGCTAAAATTCAACCCGGTAATGAGTATAGCTAATTCAGTACACTGCTAATATTCACAGCTGAATCTACAGATGCAAGAAAGCACACAGAGATTTGGTAAAAGTACCAATCCAATCTAGAAAATGGAGATGAATTTTGAGATCGTAAGTTTGCGATCTGTAAATTTCCAAGTTTTAACTACACTTGAAATTTTTTACTGAAACTATGTTCAATATGTGTTAGTCTTAACAATAAGAGCCTTATTAAATAGATGATGCATGAATAGTTGAAAGTACAGAAAGAATAGATATAATATATCCAGACGTGTATAAGGAAAATATTCAAAGTTCAGCAGTGTCAAATAAATGTGAATATTAGATATAATGCTGTATGCTCAATCTGATTTTTTGAAACAGTCTTAAATTTACAGCATAACAAATAAGCAGTATAGCACTTCATTCATTTCAGTTAACTAAGTTATAACCTTTAACCACCAAAGGCTTTGCTGTATAAAAAAAAGACTCAATAGCTCGACAGTTTAAATTTTACAGATCCCTGTTGTGAAAGCTTGTGCCACTGTTCATAAACTATGAATAATCTTCATTAACATTAATAGCAGTATGTAATTTAACCACACACTTATAGACATACTGAATATTTGATTATAATTTACAGCATTGGAAAATCAACTCATTTTATAAAACATTACTAACTTAACAGACAACTGTGTTTCAATACAACAGGTACAAAAGGCAGAAATAATGTCAGATTCTTAGGCTTAAGGCATTCTATGTCCATAGTTATACAATGGGACCCTACTACAACATGAAATTCATTATAATGCAGGTCCATCTTAGACTCCAAAATTTTCATTCAAATATATATCATTTATGAGGCCATTTTAATCAGTTTATCTGTAGTTCTGCAACTGACATGACACTTTTGAAAGTACCCCTTTATTACACAGTCTCACAAATTGGACCCTGTGGACTGTGTTATAGCACAGCCCCAGTGTATTTAGAAGCTCAATATGTGTTACTTTGTTGCTGAAGTTGACTTACTAACCAATATGAAATCGTACCTCAGTTTATATCTAAACTAAATTGTTTGGCAAAAAGTAATAAACAAATTTAGTTTTGGAATCAGTTATTGAATATTTAATCGCAACAAAACAAGTCACTGTTTCAAATTTTGAGAATGCTGTTATGTTTCTTATGCTAAGACATCTTTGTAACTTTTACAAAAAAAGTACATGCAATTCAAGTTATAAATAAGTAAATTATCAAAACATCAAACAAATTCTAAACATACCCATTGAAATTTAACACAAATCGTAATTGGCCAATGTATCCATTAACCACTACCGAATACTATAACAACTAATAAAAGATCTAATCCACAACTTCTGGTTGTTAAATCATTGTTCTCTTACTCGTGCAATACAACATTAGTAGCAAGAATGCTCTAGGTTTAAAATTTTGATGACTAGTTGTTTTTCTTATGAATGGAATAATGTTTAAAATATAAAAGAGCATTTTTTATAATTTTTAATAAACTTCCTTAAAAAATTAGAATAATGAGATCATTTCAAGCAAAAACATATTACCATGCTATTCCCAGACCATGTGTAAAAAACAACTTTTATAATGACGAAGAGAAATCGTATTACAATGAATATGGTAGTTTGTAAATTACAAAACGTATAAAATTGTAGTTTTATACTTTTAAGTATAATTTGAGCAAGAATTTCAAGTGTATGACTTTTACTAAAAACCAACCTTAATATGACTGCATAAAAAAGAACCAAATATGAAACTATATATATATATATATAAGGAGAACAAGAATTGCATAGCACATATCATATATAATACCAAAGAAAAATTACAAGTGCAATAAAAAAAACAAAATTTTATACCTGCTGAAAGTAATGTTCTACGGGAGACTGTTCTACAGTCATGTTCAACTACAGACTCCCATTAAATATAAACCGGGAGGTAAGAATTATCACCACTTCTGTAAAGAAAGAAAAGTACAAAATCAAAGATCCATAGCATATCAGCCAAACACACAAAGTTGATATGATCTCTTTTCATTCAAAAATTAAATGTTAAGTGAAAAAATTATATATTAAATCATATACTTTACCAAACTCTCCAAAACTCATAAAAGGTCTTCACTTTGTGAATTTTCAAACTATCAGAAATTTGTAAAGATATTCATAAATTTTCCAAACACCATCTATAGTTTTCACTGGTTATGTAATTTCAAATATGCCGCAAACAGTATATCGGATATAAAAGATATGTATACACACACACACATGCATACATATCTATATATATACACAACACACACACACACACACACACACACACAATCACAATTAGTCTTAACATTTTTATGTCTTAATTAAGGTAGTTCCTTTTCAGCTCCCTCATAGCATTTGTTATGATTTTTAATGTATTTTTCACTTTATTTTCAATTAACTCATTCTGCAGTTTGTTATGTGCATCTAATCTGTTCATTTTATCACTCCTTTGGAAAATTAATTCCGCCATCAAGTGTTACCATGTGACTACAACATTTATACTCTTTAGTCTGAAACAAGATTTAAAAATAACTGTCAGGTAAATTTGGGGATAGTAAGAATTCCATAATTTTTCAACTTCTTCATGATAAGAGAGTTCTGTCTTCTAAGATATGATAAGCAGGTGTATAAAGGTAGTGTGGGTACAGCAGACATATTAGGTGACTTAACAAATATATCAGTTAAGATGAGTAAGTTATTTTCTCCAAGAGATGCTTAGAGTAGCTATTTTGAAAAACAATGATTTGTAAGAAAGAAATTTCCTTGTGAAAGGCTGGATAGGAAGAGATCCAGGTTGTAGGCCCTATTTAATAGGCAGAGAATGAGATAATGTTTAAAAGAAAAGGGGTATAAAACTGTCAAACTGAGTGAAAAGGTCAGTAAATGTATTTTTGTGTAAATCTTACTGTCCCCAAATTGACCTGAAATTTATATTCTTGTTTTCAAGGAAAATCCTTCTCAAGATTAATATCACTTTCTTTACTATTTCCTAGGGCTTGCTAATGATTTTTTTTTTTACATACACCACAATTAGTGTTATCATATAAATGTTTTGGATAGAAAAATACTTCATCATCAATAGTCATTTTTAAGGAGCTGAAGTTCTTACAAAAAGAGAAACAAGAAAACATGCAGCAAGATCATAAAATTAAGATCAACGTACATGAGTGACACTTAAAACATCATACCACATTAGAAAGCATGAAGTTTATTAAGCCTACTTTACAGTTGCTACAACAGCTTAGAACTTTATTGGCTAATTTCTTTTTCTCTTTTTTTGGGGGGAAGGGCAATAAGTTTCCTTATTCCTATATTCACTACTTTTACAGTCTTAAACACAGCAGAGCACTAGAAAACAGCTGGATTAATATGATCCCAGTAATTCAGAATACATCAAAAGAGCTGACAGATTGTAAAGGTACAGATTACACTTCTTATCTAGTTATAATACAAAACATTATATTTTGGTTGGTTAGAAACCAGAAAGATGGTGCTGATGGCATCAGGTGGTGAAAGCTACTACTACAGGTTCTTATATTTACCTAAAACTGCTTAGAAGACAATCTAAGTTGAATAAAGGGATCAAACTACAAATTATATTAAGTATATATATCTAACAACAAGGCTATACTCTGAAAGTTCACATGAAGTCAGAATCAAACAACTGACACTATAAGGAATATATAAAAACAAGGTTAAACACTGGAAGTTCACAATATGGTTTCCCCCTGAACAACAAGGCTAAACACTGGAAGTTCACAATATGGTTTCCCCCTGAACAACAAGGCTAAACACTGGAAGTTCACAATATGGTTTCCCCCTGAACAACAAGGCTAAACACGGGAAGTTCACAATATGGTTTCCCCCTGAACAACTCTAACATAAACAGCACTGTCACTGTATTTGATAATTTTCATCAAATGGGAAACTAATGTTTAGAAAAGCAACGATACACTCTACACAAAATCAGGAACAAATCATGTTCCTCTCTCTCCTGAAACGTAATGCTACACTATGCTACTCAATACAGAACAGTTCTATAAAATAAAACATTAGTGTCAACCCTATTTGAGAAACAAAATCAGCAGACATTGCTTTAACTAGCTGGGCTAGCACGCTTGAAACTCCACTACGAATTTTGTTACCTAGCACATTCTTAAATGTTTTCATAAAACAAATTATATCAAGATAAACATTTAAGAGAGAAGCAACATGCTTTACTCTATAAAATACAATGAATCTGGTCCGTCAGAATCTTCCACAACAACACATCCATTGAGACTACTTTATAATAATGTTTATCTTATTACACCTACATATATATATTTTAATGCTAGATCATTACTAAGATCTGTACTCACCATTCATCTTTCTAATAAAGAACATACCCCGAAATAAAAACGTTTTGGTTTCCTTTAAAAGCCAAAACTTTGATTTTTACACACTTATCACACAGTATTTTACTCCTGGGAGCTATGAAAGGATCACAATACTGTGCATAATATGACATGCGCTATACACTGGTGTGTCATTTTCTGATTGTTTGGGTGACAAAAATTAGTGTAAACTAGCAATATATGACTGTACTCTGATACAATTCATTTTCACATAATAATGGGGTAGCATTCCCATAGTGTTACCTTTTACTTAACAGTTTCCATGATTATTTTCAATACTGCACAAATAGAATTTAAATCTTTTCATTGAAATACAACAGAGAAAAATGTTTCATGCAGTTCAAAATACAATAAGTAACTTAAACCTTACAAGAAATTGGAATAATCATAACGTATGCCTTAATCTCATCATAAACTATTAAAACAACCTCAGATCAATAAGTATGTTTATTTTAAGTGCCTACAGAATAAAATAGCTTTATAAATTACCATTTAACAGAAGAAAAACAACCTGTCACACAGATTAAAAACACTTATTGTCACAGACACTGTAGTATTCCTAATTAATAGCAAAAAAATGAGTCATTAATTTATCTCTAAGGAAAAATCTGAGACCAAATAAAATTAGGTTTCATTCCACTGAGGCAGTCATTTGATAAAAACTGTAAAAGTTATCTCATAAGAAAATGGAAGAGAAATGGACAACTGTAAAAACTTTCAGGAACAGCTTGAAAATTCAGTAAAACACACACTAACAGATGTTCTGTTTGTGAACTGAACAAACCTTCAGTCAATTAAGTAGACAATTCTAAAATTTATACATGGATAAATTGTAACCTTAAAATTGACAAAGCTCTTCTAAAAAGCCACAAGTAGATCGAAACATAACAACACATCAGCAAGTTTGTGCCAGGCTGTCCTAAGGGTACTGTATTACAATACATATAAATACAATTTTAATGAATGTAGATGATAAAAGTATGAACAAGTCTAAAAACACAAATATTTTTACTTCAAGATCTCATAAGGGCTGAGAAAAATAGAACCTGAAAAAATACAAAAACAAATGCAAACTTGTTGAGAAGTACAGTTTGTAAGTGTTTATTTTTAAAATTTGCTGGAATGACTGGTAATACAGCCACACATGGTGACTACTTTAATGAATTATACTATCAGTTTGACTAGGCTGTTATTTTATACCTTGTTTTAACTATTTCTTAGTTTAAGAACAGCATAACGTACAGCTTTGTGTCAAATTTATCTCACTGGCTTATCACTATAACATGGCAACATAATCTTGTATATATATTTTTTTACAGAAATGGTTGATACTGTATAACACATGATTCTATAAATTTGAGTAACATGCATATAGATAAAATGTGTATATTCTATTTCCAAACCAATGAATGAATATTATAAGTGCTGTTTCTGATTCCTGAAATAACAAAAAAATTAAAGCTTTATATGAAGTTTGGACATATTCAAAGAAAAAATACACAGTATGTTTAGCTTTTTATCTGCTTATACACTAACCTGGTGAAACTACTCAGCTGGTACATTATATTAGGAATGCATAAATACTTTCATACACATTAAAATAAAACTACCATCATCCAACATGACCGATTTCTCTAATAGTTTGATATGATGACAAGGAAAGTTGTTCACTGCTGATAATCAAAACTAGCTCTGCATGATCTCCTGCAACCATATATTAACAACATGTAAACCTACATTTCATTCAATCAATTAGATAGTACAAATCTGCAAGCAAAAAAATCAGTCATCAATGAATAGTTGGAACACACAATATTACTAAATAAACAGCTTATAGGCTTTTGAAATAAAAGTGTATATATATTTATATGCCTTTCCTATCATCATAATTTCTTTTACAAAAAAACTCACTTTAAAGCAAAGTTTGAACAAGTAAAAATGTCTGATACTGAGTGATACTAATAGTTTATTTTCTGAATTAAGACACCTATAGGCTGTAGTAATAACTAATATGATAAAATAAATTATACAAGTTTAATCTGCTTTGAGTTTGAGTCTTAAACAGTTTTAGTGGATGTTAAAGTCTGATGACAAATTTAATGTTAAGCTTTACATTGGTTTATTAAAGCCTACCTCAGCCCTACTTCTTGATTAAAATTACTTAATTAAAATGTCTCAACAATCAGTATAGCAGCAGCAAGGCAAGCAAAAAATTTAATTTTAATATCTTAAGTTTTAATATGAGGTACTTATTTTTCTTCATACACTAGCTTACTTGTCAAATCTTACTTTTGTGTTTTATACCAAAAACAGCAAAACGTTTTCGAAATTTTCTAACATTTCATTGCTGATTAACTGACATATTTAATTAGGCCTACACATAGTACTGTTACAAATATAGTAGTACGACATTCTACAGTATAACTGTTGGCCTCATCTACCGATAATTATTACATCGCTACATACGGCGGTTTTTAAAGAGGTGATTCTTTTTAAAACTTACTTAAGGTAATTTTTCTTTCCTTGTTAGTTTAAATACATTAGTTAGTTAGTTTCTTCTAACATTACCCAATACACTGATATAACCTTCAGATAAAAGTTAAAAATCAAGTAAATACTTTAAAAGTTTAACCCTGCCGCAATTCAGGTAAACATTTTCAACAACACTAATTCCAATTGCGTCTCAAACGGCACCAAGCTGAAGTTGAAAGAGCATTCGTTCTTCCTCATTCACTAAATATATATATATATACGTTTCATAACAAAAACTAACAACTTATATATATACCAAAGTTCGGCTCTGAACATTAAATGTTGACAAAATAATGTATTTCCAAATGGATTGTATAAAAGGCAAACAATTTAAATTTACTTCAACGTTTCACGTCTTGCTAAAATGAACATTAAACTAAAAACGACTCTTCAGTCTTATTTTTCAGTTTTTTTTTTATTATTTTGCTTATGGAGTGACGTGGATAATGTTAATTGTTCCTGAATCAAAACTGAAAATTGATGTCCATGAACCTTTCTCGGGATACATTATTAAACGAGATTCTTAAAGGATAAGCCATAAAATTAAATTAAACAGTATGTTAGTGCTAAACGTCATTTTCATATGTATTACTTTTCTTTCACCTCATGCCTACAGGTACAAATCCTTATATTTCTTTAAAATATTATAAAACATGTTCCAACTGACCATAACATCACCCGTTAATTAATCTATTTTAAATAATATTACCTTTTTTTTTTCTATTTGTGTGTTCAATATACACACACACTCATGTGAAGGGAACCAATTATTCTTTTAGAATTTTGCACAAAGCTACACATGGGTTTAACGCATATGATCGTGCAGAATTTTGAGCAGATATACAAAAAATTGGATTTTGTTTATTTTGAATATTCGCGTCAAATCTACACAAATGCTATCTGTGATGGCCATTCCTAATTTGAAGTGAAAAACTATAGAGAAAAGAGAGCTTGTCAATAGCACTTGCAGCCAACTATTGAGCTACTCTATCCATAGAGCTGGATTTGGTCGTGTTTTTTAAACGTACTGTTATGCCTTCGTTCGTTAGTTCATTTTCCGTATAATTTCTTTCT